GGGGAGGGATGACCTGCTCACCCTGGTGGCCCCAAGCCTCTCCCAGGGGAGAGAGACCACGTCCAGTTTAAGTTTTCTGTGAAGCAGCTTCATGCTACACCCAAGCAGCAGCAAGCAGCACCCAGATGCCTCCTAAGGTAGGCATCCGCTGCTGGCTTGCTGCAGTGGCTCCCAGCACCAGGTCATCTGGGCTCCACCCTGGAGGTGGCAGCAACAGCATAAATGGTCCTGGGATATTTCGATACCTCTGTATTCATCAGGAGAAAAAAAAAATAATTTCTCTGCCTCTTACATGCCCTTCCCTGCTCACACAACGCCAGAGCTAGCCCCTGGACCAGACAGAACAGCTTCTGCTGCCCTTGAAAAGCAGACTGAGATATTCAGCCTCTAGGAAAGGCTTTGGAGCATTTCCCCGAGCCCACCTATGCCACAGCCCCCCGCCAGTCTCAGCATCCCAAGGCACCGAGGTGCAAGCCAAGAGGCAGACCCCCACCCTAGGGCTCCAGCTCCCCCCCAGCCTTACCCTGAGGGTGCTGCCACACTCATGCAGCCCAGCCATGAAGGTCACCGTGGTCTCAGCAGCACTCCAGACTGCAGGCAAGCAGGCAGCCGAGCCCAGGGTCAGCTCTGCAGCCTTGACCAGGCGCCCCGTGCCAAAGAGGTCCCTGTGCACCGCGACCACCACCTGCGCCTCCTGGCATTGCACGGCCACAGGGTGCAGCGGGGCAGCAGCCTGGAGCTGGGAGACATCCACCCATGCCCAGAGAGAGGGCTGGGAGAAGGCACGGGGCTGCCCCGAGGAAGGATCCCCTCCATACCTCCATGGCTCTGCCTCCCCTCTAGGGAAGCCCCAGGGGTTGTAAGCAACCACTTCCCCAAAAACCCAGCAGAAAAGAGCAAACCCCAGGCTGCTTCCAGGCCTCATCCTGCCTACCAGGGTCCAGCACAAGGAGCAGCTGCTGCCCAGGGACCTTTTACAGCCCACACCTCCCACAGCCACTCCCACCCCAGGTGATGCTCAGCACACCTCCCATAAGGGCAACTGGCAACAGCTGAGAGCACCCAATTCCCTGGGGAACCCATTGTGGTGGGCTCTAATGAGCTAATGAGGTGCTGGATTGGGTCCCTTGTCCACAGGAGAGAGGCTGAGTTTGCTGTGCAGCCAAATGCAGTTTTTTCCCCTGTTTTTTGGTAACAACCAGCTCTGTAAGATGCACAGAGATGTGTCCTACCTTCAGACCGTATGCCCTGCCTCCAGATCATGGGGCCCTTCTGCAGCAGGGTCGCTGGGGGATGGCGTGGGGCGTGACACTTTCCCAAGGCAAACCCACTCTTCAGGTGCCCAAACTTGTCCCTGTCCCCAGCTCCTTCAAGGTGGTGATGATCCCTATCCCCAATCCCCAAGGGCAACTGGGGATTGCCAGGACATGAGGGACTCATGGCTGGCTCTTTGCTACTGAGCAAAAGTTGATTTTTTGGAGGAAGAAGGGGAAATTTAAACTTGAATCAAGTGGAAGAATAAAAGGAAAAGGGGGGATTGTGGAGGAGATCCCCATCGGTTGCCCTGAACCGCATCCCTGCGCCTGCGGGACCAGACTCCACACGGCGGTGTCCGCACTGGTGCGGCCACCCGTGTTCCCTTGTGTTTCCTTGTTCTTCCCGGGATTTTAGCAAACGGGAGGAAAATGCTGGTGCGCACGTGGCTGTTGAACAGTTTCCTGAACAGACTTGTTCCCTGGAGCCACCGTCTTCCCGGGCAGGACTGGTGTTGAAATGAGTGCTGGTAAAACAATGAACAGAATAATCCTTACCAGGAATAACATTAGAGCTATTAGGTATTAGAAATAATAATTCTTTCTAATAATTATTAGAATTATTAGACCTGGGGCAAAACAGTCCCCATGGTGTCTGGGCAGCCCATCCCTTCCTGGGATGATTCAGCAGCAGGTTGTGCCCTCCGTGGTCCCCAGAGGGAGGGGACCGGCGCAGGTTGACCCAGCTGAATCCCTCTGCAAGCTTCCTCGTGCCCGGTTAGAGGCTATAAATCAGGAGGAAAAGCAGTCTGTGTATTGAAGTGACACCAGGGAGGGCCACGGCTTTGGACAGGAGTCCTTGTATGGGGTTTTAGGGACAGCACTTTGCCCCTGCCTCTGGGTGAGCGTTGGTGTGCTCATTGCTTTGCTCGCACACGCAGGTGAGGACCAGGTGAGATGCCCACGAGTTTTGGGCAATAGCCGTGGCCGAATCAGGCTGTTTTGGCATGATCCAAACTGGATAGCTGCCGGCGGGCAGGGCAGCTATGCACCGTCTGAAGGGAAATGACTCGGGTTGTTCCCATGGGGAGCAGGCTGACAGGCTTTCTCGGCACCTCCCTGAGCAAACAGGACCTCTTGGTGCTCTCTTGCTTGGCTTCAAGCTGTCCTGGTTTCGGCAGGGATAGAGTTAATTTCCTTCCTAGTAGCTGGTACAGTGCTGTGTCCTGGATTTAGGATGAGAACAATGCTGATAACACGCCGATGTTTTAGTTGTTGCTGAGCAGTGCTTGCACTAGTCAAGGACTTTTCAGCTTCCCACGCTCTAGCGACTGAGCAGGCTGGAGGTGCACAAGAAGCTGGGAGGGGGCACGGCCAGGACAGCTGACCCCAACTGGCCACAGGGACATTCCATCCCATGGGACGTCGTGCTCAGTACATAAACTGGGGAAAGCTGGCCGGGGGGGCCGCTGCTCGGGGACTGGCTGGGCATCGGTCGGCAGGTGGTGAGCAACTGCATTGTGCATCACTTGCTTTGTATATTATCAATTTATTTTAAACTGTTTTTATCTCAACCCACAAGTTTTTCTCACTTCTACTCTTCCAATTCTCTCCCCCATCCCACTGCAAGCCGGGAGGAGGAGTGAGTGAGCGGCTGGGTGGTGCTCAGTTGCCAACTGAGGTTAAACCAACACAAGCCAGCGCCCATCTTGGGGACAGCTGCATGTCTCAGGTAAATGTGTCATACCGTGCTCACCAGGCTCATCTCAGCTCTGTCGTGGGCTCAAGGGGGCATCACGCTGCAAAGCACCCATCACCGCAGCGCCCACCACCCTGCACATCTGCCTCGTTGAGCAGGTGGGTATTGTGGGAACGGGGAGCAAAAGGAAACCATTTGCAATGCACAACAAATCAGGAAAATGATTTATTTCTTCTGCATCTGTAGGCAGGCACAGGAGCCGAAGAGCAATGAGGCGCATTCACTGATCAAGCAATTCCCTGGCTGTCTTTGAGCTTGGAAAGCAGGGGGAGAGGTCGGAAAGCCATACCCCTGTGTGCCCGCTTTGGAGGTTCATATCCCAGGCTAGAGGGGTTGGATCCTACTGACTGAAGGAGGATTTTCAGTTCTTCCCACAGCCGTGTCCCACACAGCAGCTCACGGGAACAGAGCAGCTCTGCCCAAACTCCTTCCTAGCAATGACCACCATCCTTGGTCCTTCCAGACCAGTTTCCCCACCTGCTGTTTCTCCAGCTGGCTTCAGATCCCAGTGACCTGCCCCCCCAAACCCCAGACCAGAAGTGATTGGAAACATTTCTCCCAAGAGTTGGCTTGATCCACCCAGGGGGGAAACAAAGGCACGGCGTGGCTGCAGGGTGCTGGATCAGAGCCAGGACATCTCCCAGCCAAGCTGGCGTCCTCACCTCTTCACCTTAGCACAAGTTCAGATGAGAGAGGACAGCAAGAGACTGTCACACCCCAGAGACCCAGACTCCTCACCCCAGGCGGGAGGGGGCAGGAAATACTGAAGGCAAAACTACTGATGTGAGCCAGGATTTGGCTCCAGGACCCCTTCCCCGTGGGCGAGAGGGGAATGAGTACTGGAGAGGCACCAGCATCTTTCAACACTTTTCCTTGCTCTTTATGGCTCCTGGGAAATGGCTGCCTGCCGAGGTCTCGTGGCTTGCAGCCAACTGCTCCTGGCGCTGGAAGAACACCTTGACCTTGCTCAGGTTTTGGACTCTCTTCTGGGACCTCTGCCGGTGAGTGTTGATGAGATAGCACAATTCCTGGAGCCCCTTCTCGCCGTTCTGCTGGTAGAGCAACCAGAGCGTAGCAAGGCCGATGTTTTGGGTGGCCAATGTTTGGGCTGATGGCTTGGTGAGGAGCTTCTCGTCCACCAAGGGCTGAAGAGAGATGAAGGAGTCCAGGCTGGTTTGACTGAGGATCAGCCTGGGTTTCTTCACCGGGTTGACATCCAGGACCTCGCACAGGTACTTCACGATGTTGGCGTTCTCCATGGCGCTGCTGTCACCGAAGTGCCACCAGAGGTAAGTGCTGGCCAAGTTCTTCAGCTTGTAGTTATCCCTCTCAGGGACCTCCTCCCTAACCAGGGGCAAAATGTCCAGGAAGCCGTACACAACAGAGCTGAACTCCTCCTTCTTGTTCATGACCATCAGCGCTTTCAAGAGGGTGGGAAAGGGGAGTGACCAGAGACCAAAGCCACACAGGATGGGCCTGTGGACAGTGTTGAGGTGGCACAGCAGATTCCTCAGACCGATCTCGTAGACCCTATTGTTGGCCATCAGGGTGGGCAAATATTTCACTGGATGAATCAGGACTGGGAATATTTTCTCTCCATCTACCACCGTCATCTGAATGGTTTCATTTTCTAGAGAAGAGGAGGGGAAAGGGAAAGAGGATTGGAGAGGGAGAAAAGGCAGAATTAGTCTCGTATTCAGTAGGAAAACAAAACATTGCTTGAGTTGCTCAGCCCCTAACAGCCTTCACCATCGACAGCAGCTGGGGGGCTGACCCATCATTTCACCTATCTCCACCATTCAGTCACACCCTCAGCTTCCAGCATCTCCAAAGTCCTTCAGGAGTGTCCTTCCCATCAACACTCACACGTCCTGCAGTGGGATCTTTCCCCCCACCAGGAACACGAGGACTTTTACAGCTTTCTGAGGGTGGACTAAGGAGAGGGGCTTGAGAAGCAAAATCCACCTCGCCCAAGAGGCATTGGCCCATGGGAAGGAGAAGCAGGGGAGCCCATGTTGACACAACGGCGCAAGGGCTGGTTAACTGGCTGAGCAATCTCAGAGAAATCTGCCCATGGCCCTGTGGGCTCCACGTTCCTCCAGATGTCCTGAAACTCAAAGGCAAGGCCTCTTGGGAGCTCAGGATATTGTCCTCTCCTCACAAAGCCAAGGCCACGGTGGACGTGCCCGAACTTCCACCCCCCACCCCCCCCGCAAAAAAAGAGACCCTGACGGATGTGGGGATCTGTGCTGGCTGCAACATGGGACCTCCCCACTTAGGATCTTACTCGAAATCTTCACGTCAAAGAAGACCAGGGACCCTTGTCTCGTGTCCAGCGTGTCCTGGCTGCTGATGGGAAAGCTCTTGTCGAGGATATTGCTGAGGTTATCGAGCAGACTGGGGTCCTGGAAGAGCACACAATTTGCTTTTAATAAATGTCACAGGAAGAACCAGGGCAGCAGCTCTGGGCACTCGTGTGTCCTGGAGGCTACCAAAGCTCAGGGATCTACTCAAACTGCCTGCTAGAGGACTTGGGGTGTAATAAGCCCCTCTGGTTGGTCATGAAGACTTGCCTCCTCCGGCACTGCAAAACAAAGTGACATGCATACTCCACGCATGTCCACACAGGACGGCTCGCTTGGATCCTTCCCGACCGGCTTTCTGCTCAGAAGTGACAGAAAAGTTGGGGCTACCCAACATCTCCCCTCTGGCTGTGAGCCAAGGGCCTAACCCAGCAAACAGCAGGCAGGGAAGGGAAGCTGCCCATTTCTAAAACCTTTTCTGAAGAGCTGGTCACCAGCTTTTGGTCGCACAGACTGTCACGGGAACTGCTCGGTGCTGCAAAGTAACAACAAAACCCCATCCATCCATAGCCTCAAAGAGGAGGTGAGGTTTTGGACTGCCTCTTCTTGCTGGCCTTCATTTTGGCTGCTCGCCACTTTGGCGTCACCAAGATGGTATCTACCAAGGTCTCCAAGCTGCTGGGCAGCCCAGTTCCCCCAGAAGTGGAGGAGAGCTAGAGGGGATTTATTTTGGCGCTCAGGAAGGATTTTACAAGTTCCTTGCCAGGCTCTAAGGGCGATTATGGGATGGTCCTGAAGGTCTGGAAGCATCAAGTGGTCCAGTCTTCCTGGCTTAAACACTGAGTAATGCAGGGCCAAGCACTGAAAGCCCTTTAGCTGCACTCACCATCAACTCCTCGTCGGTGCTCTCCTCCTCACAGCTGTCCAAGCAGAGAATATCACTATCTGCCAAGGGAGGAAAGACGTGTCACCTTTTGGATGTGGGGCTGTCCAGCCCTGCAGTGAGTGCCAGGGCCAATGGTCCCCCGATCGGCATCACCAACCATGCCGAGAGGTGGCCCTGGGCAGCCGGCAAGGTGGGTGGGGAGCAAGCAGGGAGCAACCCTGCCCTCAGGGTCCACCTGAAAAAGGACTGATTCCCCCTCAAGCCACAGCTACAGAGTACACGCTGGCCAAGATCCTATGGGGGAGAGAAGACCAAAATGCAGCGTCGGGTAGCCTAAGAGTATGCAAGCAGCTGCAGGAACAAAGTCTGGTTCTCCGTCAATCTCCACCAAACATCTCGTCTTTGAACAAGACAATGCGCTGGGACATAACTGTCCTCCTGGGAGGTCCATGGAGATGCTGCAAACTGCCCTGCCCCGATGCCTACACCCCGTAAAGTCTACCCGTGGCTTCACTGCTCTGGACACCACTTACCTGAGTCGTGCAGCCTATCGTTGCCATCTGGCACTTCTTCCAGCAGGTTGTCCTCCCTGGCAAGAGTCATGGGGGACACCGAACAGCTGGTCCCAGGCTGGTCCAACCAGCTTGGCTGCTCTGGCACCATCCGTTTCCACCCGTCGTCATTGCCTGCAACTTTTATCACCTTCACCGGCGACGTCATGACATTCGCATTTTGGACTTTCTTCCTCTTTGCAGAGGTGGAGACCTATGTGCAAAGGGGAAGCCAGTGAGAGCAGCCCTGCGTGCTCAGGGATGGAGACGTCCTTTGCCACCAGAGCACAGCTGAACAAGCTTGACCACAGGGGTTTGTCCCTGCTCAAAGCAAGTGCTCTGCTCGCCCAGACAGTCTCTGCTGCTCTGGGGTCACCCAGCACCACATCCTCATTTCTGGCACAAAGCCCCTGGCTCTCCCGGGCTGTGGCCACTCCAACCTCCTTGGTCAAGGTCCCCCCTCTGCCTGACAAGGGTCAGGAAAACTTTCTGCTTTGCTTAACGGCTGCCAAGGAGAAAACGGGAACCTCCCCTTCCTGAGCTGGGGGAATAAATCGTCTTTATCTTCTTGCTTCAGCCCTGAGGCTCCCAGGCTCTGCAGGGCTTGCAGGCAGGGCTAAGCCTTTCTGATCCCAGGCTGGGGGGGCTGGGGACATGCTCTGCAGAGGGGCAGCCCGGGGGTCCCCAGCCCCGGTCCTGTGATGGCTGTTTTGTCCCAGGCAAAGGCAGACACGTCTCATGCAAGACAAGTCCTTCATGCGCTATGGGACTGGAAAACAGAAGAGAGCTTGCCTTCAACATCATTGAAGGCCACTCCTGCTTGAGTGGGGCTCTGCCCTTCTTGTGGGAGATGTGTTTGGGGGCCCCAAATCCATCACAACCGGTCACGGCATCTCTTCCCTGCCAGCCCCAGGTGTGGGCAGGGCAGAGCAGGGTGCGGGCAGGAAACGACTTGCAAGCCACCGTGCCTACAAGAGCTCTTTACAGTGCATGCAGCAGCGTGTCTCACACCGAGATGTTTGCACCTTAGCCAGGAAGGTGCCTTCAAGGGACAAAGTCTGCCCTGGCTCTGCAGCCCTATGCCCAGCCAGTTTGGCTGATCTCCTCTTTCAAAAGAGAACTTGGAAAGCAGCAACCAAATGCCAGAGCTCAAGCAACCTTGCAAGGCCTGGGGGTAGCCCCAAATTCCTGCCGGCTAACCCCACGAGGCAAAAATCCCAGAGCAATGCAAGCAAAACCAAGTCTCACCTGGTGGGAGTTTTCCGTGGCTGGAGCTGGGGTGGCTTCTGAAAGAAGGAAAACACAGCGAGCTGAGAGGAGGGCGAGCAAAGCTGGAGACGTCTGAGAGCAGCAAGAAAAGACTCTGCAGAAGGTGCAGGTGGCTCTGGGGCCACCTCCTGGGAGGGTCACCTCTTGGAGACGCTTACTGAGGCCAAAAGCCAGCAGTGGGCCTGCAGGCTGGGCTGGAGAGGTGCCCGTTCTGCCCGGCCACCCGCCAGCTCATTCACCCATCCTTGCACTAAAGCCTTTCCTCCCGCTTTCCCGTACGGGTTTGCTGCCCTCCCACCCATCCCAGACCCATAAGCCAGGGAGGTCACATGTGCTGGGAAGGAAAGAAAAAAGAAAATTAGTAGGATCATGCTGTTCCCGAGCAAGTTATTGCCATGCAGTGGCGAGGGCTCGTTCACGGGGGAGATGCTGCCTTCTCAAACCCAGCAAAAGACCGATGCACTCTTCATCCCAGGAGGATTTATTGGCTGTCCTTATAGCAAGGTGAGGTGGAGAGCCTGGTCTCCACAGGGACCTTTAAAGGGTTTTCCAAGCAGCTGCAGCCCGTGACAAACATTCTGGTTTGCAGACCCTCACTTCCTCCTCCGCTTCTGAAGCCTGGTGCTGGGCTTCCCACCACGCTTGCCCCTGGTGGGGTGCCTTGATTTGGGGCATTCCCCCTCGGAGGCTGGGCTGGAGGGCTCCGAGCGTGCTGGGCTGGCAGGGGGGGTGGCAGGAGGGGGTCTGCTGGGGGAAGGGGCCGTGGCAGCCGCTGGGACCAGCAGTTCATGCTTCTGCAGGGTGCTGGGAGGGAAGAGCTCCAGCAGGTCGGAGGGCAGCGACGGCCAGTCCACGTCTGCAGTGGGGGGGTCCCATGGCCTGGCCACAGGCTGCAGCAAGGGTCCCACAGCAGAGGCGATGGTGGCCAGGGAGTGGGACATGGCCCGGATCTCCCGGGTCACGGACACCAGGTGCCTGTTCGCCCTGTGCTGAGCTTGCAGGAGGCGATTGCCGATCTTCAGGAGCTCATTCGCCTGCTGCATGTTGGACCTGGCCCAGCCACCAAAATCTTCCTGCAGGGAGGCCAGAGAGTCCTGGATGCTCCTGGGAAGAGGCACAGCATCCCCATGGGCTGACCCCGAGTCTTCCTCTGCTTCTTCATCCCTCTGCATCAGAAGGGCTGGAGGCGTGGGCTGGATAGGGGACATATCCCCTCCCTGGTCTGCTGGATACACGCGTCCTCTGCCGCTGGAGGAGTCCGACACAGGGGCACAGGGCTGCTGGTGGGCAGGAAGCCCCGCGGGGAGACCTCCGTGCGGTTGGCAATGCTCCCCGGGAGGCTCGAGGTTGAGGATCAGGGTGGTCTCGTCTTCGGACAGGGAGTCGTGCTGGGGAGTGGAGGTACCTGTTGCGGGGAGTGAGGCTGAAGGGAGCAAGAGGGGAGAATCAGGGCTCAGAGGGTCCTCCCAGCCTGCCTCGGTGGGGTGGAGAGGGGAGACGGAGGGATGATGCCTACCACGCGATGGAGATGCAAGGAGTGGGGTGGGAGGCAGCTTGTCCCCAGGAAACCCCAAGCTCCATCCAGGACATCACCCCGGGCTCTTCTATGGACCGTCCATAGCCCATGAGCTCTCCCTGGGGAGCTCAGTGGTGGACGCCCACAGAGGGCTAAGGAAGACACTGGTCATAGCCCACGTCTGAAGACAGAAGCAGGGGGATGGAGCAGAACACCCCGCAAAGTCTCTTCCTCCCGTTGCTTTCTTCCCCCCCATTTTCTGGAAGGGTGCTACCACCTTCCGACCAAACCTGGATCCTCCAGCACACCGTCCCTGCACACATCACAGATGCCAAGGCCTTCACCGTTCCCAAACCACCAGGGGCTCCGCCACAGCGTTGCTGCTGAAGAGCTAGGGGAAGACCTGGGCAAACCCAGCAGTGGTCATGGACCTCTTTGCCGTCCCTGTCGGGGAGTGCTCCCGGGGAACATTTCACCTTCCCGGTTGGATATGCCATCCCAAGGCAGTAATTAACAACCCCAAAGGGGAATTGCCCCTGATGGTTGTGGACAAAGGTTGAGCAAAGACAAACTGGCTGGAGATCTGAGGAGCAGAAGTGGTCAGTGGGCAGCAGGACACTAAGGCCTGGAGGACGGTTATGGCCCCTGAGGGACCTGCACATGTCACCAGCACAAACATTCCTCAGAGAGGATGCAGAGTCGATCCAACCCTTCCATCTGCTTCCTCCTTGCTAACACCAGCCTCTGCGAGCCCCGGCTCCACACGCCCCGGCTCCACACACCCCAGCTCCAGGTGCTGCTCACCTCCCTTGTCCTTCAACCCATGGCACGGCTCCATCCCAAGCAATTCACCATGTTTCCTGCCAGTACAACTGCGTTTGGGGGACCACCGTGCTCCGCAAGGGCAAGAGACAAGCGTTGCTTTGGAAGTGATGGATGCAACAACTGCATCCCATCCTCGGGGGAGGTTGGAGTATGCCCACCGCACGAGCAAAGCCTGGAGGCATAGGTCCATCAAATCATCACGTGGAAGGAGACTTGAAACCCATAGAGAATATGGTCTAACCAGGGATGATAACCTTCAACTCTGCTTTCGGTCCCCCCCTCCCCAGCCCGCCTGGCCAAGTGCCTCCTCACCTGGGTGCCCCGTGACACGCTCCACCAGCGCCTGCAGCCTGGCTCTGCACTCGGCCAAGTCCCCGGGCTGCGCTTGGTCCCTGGTCGCTGGTGGCTGCAGCTGCTGCAGCTGCTCCAGCGAGTCCTTGATGAAGGGCTGCATGTCCATCACCTCCTGCTCCGTGGCGTAGAGGCTCATCTTCTCCACCAGCCGCTCGCCCGCCTCCATCCGCCGCAGCACCCCCTCCACGCGCTGCAGCTCCCTCACCACCTCCTGCCGGCCCTGCTCCTGCTGCGCCTCCACCAGCCCCAGCAGCTCCTCTTCCTCCTGCCGGACCAGCCCCACCC